CGCCTTGATGAGCCCGCCGTCCGCAGCCGCCACCCCGGAGACCACCTCGACGTCGTCGTCCTCGTCCGCCTCCTGCTCCTCCTCCTCCTCTTCCTCCTCCTCCAACCGCGCCAGCGCCTCCACGGCTGCCTGCAAGAGCGCGGGCGGCGGCGGCGGCGGCGGTAGCGGTAGCGGCGGCGTGGGCGCCGGGAGCGGGGTCTCCAAGAAGGCGAGCTCAGGGCTGCGGCGGCCGGAGAAACCGCCCTACTCGTACATAGCGCTCATCGTCATGGCCATCCAGAGCTCGCCCAGCAAGCGCCTGACGCTCAGCGAGATCTACCAGTTCCTGCAGGCGCGCTTCCCCTTCTTCCGCGGCGCCTACCAGGGCTGGAAGAACTCCGTGCGCCACAACCTCTCGCTCAACGAGTGCTTCATCAAGCTGCCCAAGGGCCTGGGGCGGCCCGGAAAGGGGCACTACTGGACCATCGACCCCGCCAGTGAGTTCATGTTCGAGGAGGGTTCGTTCCGCCGACGACCGCGCGGCTTCAGGAGGAAGTGCCAGGCGCTCAAGCCCATGTACCACCGCGTGGTGAGCGGCTTGGGCTTCGGGGCCTCGCTGCTGCCCCAGAGTTTCGACTTCCAGGCACCCCCGTCAGCGCCGCTCGGCTGCCACGGACAAGGCGGTTACGGCGGCCTTGACATGATGCCCGGGGGCTACGACGCTAGCGCGGGTGCGCCGGGCCACGCACACCCGCACCACCACCACCACCACCACGTCCCGCACATGTCACCCAACCCGGGCTCCACCTACATGGCCAGCTGCCCCGTGCCCGCCGGGCCTGGGGGTGTAGGCACGGCCGGGGGCAGCGGCGGCGGTGGGGACTACGGCCCGGACAGCAGCAGCAGCCCCGTGCCTTCGTCCCCTGCCCTGGCGAGCGCCATCGAGTGCCACTCGCCCTACACGAGCCCAGGGGCGCATTGGGGCTCTCCCGGCGCCTCGCCTTACCTCAAGCAGCCTGCCGCTCTGACGCCCAGCAGCAACCCCGCGGCCTCCGCAGGCTTGCACTCCAGCATGTCCTCCTACTCGCTGGAGCAGAGCTACCTGCACCAGAACGCCCGCGAAGAGCTGTCAGGTAATGGATCGCGCCCGCTGGGGGCGTCGCCTCTAGGCCTCCAGGCTCCAAGGCTACTGCAACTTGCAGCGGATCGCGGCAGCCTAGGGGGTCTGAAGGCGCTGGGAGAAGCTGATGCTGGGGGAAGCTGGCACTTTATTCATGGAGGGAAGAGGATTCGGTTCATACCGTCCTCCCCCACACCCTTAGCCCAGAGGTGGGCCTCTCGAATTTACATTCCTAGGAGGATGGTGCGAAGTCGCCAGCCTAGGGTCTCTGGTGACCTTATGGACTGCAGGTCTCAAGTCTCAGGCCTGACTTAGCTTAGAGAGAAAGCATGTGGTTTTGGGGGACTTTGGCCAAGGAGCTGTAGCTGCTTCCTCTTGTCATTTGTAAATTTTGTTTGGTTGTAATTTGCCCAAAAGTAAATATCAGAAGGACAGTTCTGTATTCTGAGGGTGTAGGTTGGGAGGGGCTGCACCTGAGCAGGTGTTGAGAGGAAGAGAAGGACGGAGAGGAAAGCAGTGGGGTGCCAGGATCTTTCACAGGCTGTTAAGTCTCCTGCCTCCCCACACAGATTGAATCGCTTGACCCACCTTGGTGACACTTAAGTCTGTCTTAGGTCAGCAGGACCTGAGGTCCACATTATGACTCCCTTGAGAAATGCCTGCCTCTTGGACAACACTTGTGTTGCTGGTGTAAATTGTGTTGGTCAAGGAATATGAAAATTTATGGACTTGCCAAAATGGTCAGTGGGAGGGGACAGACAGGATGGAGAAGAACTTTGAATATTTAGCCAGTGGAGATAAACTCGCTTACATTAACCTCCTCTGGGGCACCCCGGCTGCAGATGCAGATTGAAATCCGGCTGGGCTGCCCATCAACTGGTGCTCTGGCTCACATTTGCCTCCCCGCCCCCAATTAGAAAATGGGAGGAAGGATAATGCAGACATTATATGTTCGTGAATCGTGTGCCCTAAGAGCATGAGGGGAGAAGGGAAGCCCAGAAATGGGCAAAACATGTTGGTTCCCTGAATGGTGAAATTTCCCAAATAGGCCTTTTAAATGCGGGTCTCAGAGGTTAACTAAACAAAGACAGTCTCGGCAGGACCACACCGGAGAGGATTTTAGCCTGACTTAACCCACTGAAAGCAGAGTCTTGTTCAATTTTATGGGAATTTCTGCAAGTAACCAATACAGACAACCCTCCGCTCTTATTTTTTTTAATCCCCGTGGACTGGCTGTCAATCACCGCCCACCCCAGGCGGAGCCGGTTGTCCACTGGAGTCCTGGCAGGGCCTGCCCAACGTGAACTCAGTCTCTGAGGCTTCGCAGCCGCCGTGAAGAAGTACCTTAAAAATCAAAAACAAGAAAACACTCAGGAAAGAGACTTCTGATTCTTCTGAGTGGCCGTCCTCTCCCCACCCCACACACAGGGGGCACGCAGATGCCCCCAAAAATGCGGGGGCCGGGAAACACAACTCTTTGTCTTGGAGAGAACGGAGCAAGCGGGCCTCGCCTCCCGGGGAGCCTCGAATGACCTCTGGAAATGCCAGGGAGGCCATGGCTCGGCCCAAGCCAGAACGGGACGCTCTGCGCCTTCCTCCCCGGCCCTCTGGCTCCGGTACCTCTGAACTATTACCCGCTGCCCCAATGCTTGTTGGCATCTCCCAGGCGGCGGTGCGCGTTGGCCTTCGGGTTGGGAATGTGCCGCCTTCCCGGCCGGGGCCTACTGAGAGTCTGAAGCCCAAGCCCAGCGAGAAGCAGCAGGGAGGTCAAGAAGGGCTGAGGCTGTGGGACCCAGGCGCACCCCAACCCCAGCGATCGCGAGCGCGCACACACACACACACAGCACACCCACGCGGGGCGCGCCTTCCCACTCGGGATAGGGCGGCCAAGGCCCGGGTGGTGCTCAGAGAGGCTCTGCACCCTTCGGTAAATCCTTTGAGCCTTTCAGAAAGGAGCCAGGGCTTTTATCATACTTCCCGTCACCTGAAAGCGCTGGCCGCGGTCTTGCGTGGAGGTGTGAGCGATCGCTCGGGGGTCCAGCCTGGGCGACTGCGCTCTGGCGCTGCTCGGTGCTCTAACTTGCTGGGCGAGCGCACCTGTGTGCAGAGCCACGCGCGCACATCGGGGACGCGTGGTTGCTGCTTTGAGAGCACTACAGCGCACGTTTGGCAACATTAGGTGTCACCCGGCAATAGCGTAGGCTGAGTGGCCAGCTATCTAGCAACCTGACTTCTCGATAGAGCTGGGATGCAGCCAGGCCCAGGCGATGCGAGCAGGGCACACGCGCAGCGGGCGACAGTTCTGATTTTCACGCACTCAAAAACGGAATCAGGTCTGGCACCAATGGGCACCTTATGGTTCCCACACCGCACGGGTTACTAGAAAGACTCAGGCCAACAGGCTTAACCCAACCTGGCCCGGAGACAGGCCCTGTACCGGAGGAGTCCAGGTCCCAGCTCGAGACAGACACCCCTGGCCCATTGCGCCCAGGGCTCGCACACAAGGAGAAAGCAAAAGCAAAGGGCAGTGGCTGGTTGGCGCCCAGTGGCTCCGGTTCTTGGACGAGGAGCAGCCCCAGGGAAGAGGAGTGCGGGCCTTCTCCATCCTCTCTGAGGGCCTCCCTGCACTGCCAGACGCCTCCGTGGGTAGCAGGATCTCCAGCTTAGCTCTTGTGGGAGGGCTTTCTCTGCTCCCTGGAGTGTTGGCTTTCTAGAGGAAGTGTAAGGCGTTCAGGACCTACGAAGACGAAGATGTATGCTTTCTTTCCCCAGCTTTTCTCTAGTGCCGGGGTTGTTTTCTGTCCCTCCTTAAAGCACAGGAAATATCCCTGCTGTGGCCTGCTTTTCTGACCCGGCCAGTTAGTTGGGAAACAAAATGTGAGGGCGACACTAGTGTTTCGTGTGGGTGTTTGGGTTCTGGAAGAAGCCCTGTGCTCAGAGACCTGGAACAAGAGACTGGGTCAGATTGTCCCAGTGTCCCTGCTCCTCTGTGAGCACTAATAGGGGAATTTAGGCACAGAACCGGGGTAGACCTGGCCGGTGTGGCTCAGTTGTTTAGAGCACCCTCCCATGCACTGAAAGGTTGCCAGGCACATACGAAGCTGCCGCTTGCAGTTGGACGCCCATACGGAGGCAACTGATGGATAGAGATGCCTCTCTCTCTCTCTCTCTCTCTCTCTCTCTCTCTCTCTCTCCTATCCCCTCTCTCTAAAATCAGTAAAACATATCATCAGATGAGGATTTTTAAAAAAGAGCCTGTTTTAGAGGGGGAACAGGCACTCTGTGGCTCTGTGTTTGTGGGTACATCAAAACAAAATTTAATGATTCCAGAATTATCCTATGACCTATCGTTTAAAACTTTGAGAAACTGCCAGAGCTAGGTTTCCTCTACCAGTTTTATAGCAATAGGCCTTAATAAGATTCCAATTAAGTTACCAATTAAGATACCAATTAAGTTAAAATTTGAAAGTTAACAGGCTCCATCCTCACCTGGGCAAATTTGTTTCTGAAAAGAGTTTTTATTTTCTTCCTTCTTTCAGTGGGACTGCCTCGGTACCAGCATCACTCTACCCCAGTGTGTGACAGAAAAGATTTCGTCCTCAACTTCAACGGCATTTCTTCTTTCCATCCCTCTGCTAGTGGGCCATACTATCACCACCACCATCACCAGAGCGTCTGTCAGGATATTAAGCCCTGTGTCATGTGAATGGAGGGAGGCAGGCCATGCCAAGGCCACTTTCTCCTGGGGGGGGGGGGGTGAACTGAGATGGACTCACATAAAGTGCACCCCATAGCTGTAAGTAGCACACCATTCACTTAGAATCCCCAGGCCTGTGTGTTCACTGACACTTATCTACCATTGGTAGAAGGACAAGCCCTGGCATGGTAATGTCCTAAATGTGTGCAGGCTCCACTGAGGGGAAGAGCTGAGAGCTCAACTTCTTAGCGAAGATGGTAAAAAGTTACCACATGAAAAACATAAGCATGTAACTCTGGGATCTTCATTGCCTTCAGTAATCAGGGTCTGAAAAATGCAGACAAGTTGTCTGTGTGTTTTTCTTTGTCTATAAAAATGTATGTGCTTTTCAAAAAGGCAGTGCTAAACGCAAGATTTCAAGAAAGCTGCATGTCATTGCCTACCTAAGGAAGGAGTTCTGTTTCGCCAAACACTACCTTTGGATATAAATGCCAAAGAACAGTATTAAGAAAGTATTTAGAAACAATGTGTCTAGTTTAAGAACACAGTTTTCAGTATTGTGACAATACAACGTTTTTTACCAGGTTATTTTCTACCACGGTATTTTAAAGATATTTTTATCTCATGTATACTCACACTTGTATTTTAAAAGGAGGATATATTTGCACTTATGTATACTTTTACAGTTTGCCAAACTATTTTGATGTAAAATGTTTTCAATAAAATGTATGTAACATATAGTCATTTTAGGGAACTATTTCCTCCGAGGCATCCTGAAATCGCCAGGTTGTCTCCACCAGCCAGCAATGCAACTCTACACTTCTCCCCCCAAGTTGTGTAATTGACATGGTGTGGGGTCTGCGCCTTGAGTAACACAGGCCAGATTCTGATTGTGGGTCTTCTCAGAAGAGAAAGAGAAGAAGGAACATTTTCTGTTCTTTCTTTCTTTCCTTCACCCTCGCTCTTTCTGACTAAACAAAAACCAGAAGTTGAAAGGAACTTAAAAGAAAACCAGGCAAGATAATGAAAGGCAAGAGTTTGTTGGATTTGAAGCAATGAAGTGCCCTTTTTGTTCTCTTTCTTGTGCTCAGGGAGAGTTTGCCTTTTGCTCTTTCCTCTTACCTACCAGCACGGAGTGACAGGCCAGGCTGAGCAGCCAACAAGGATTAGGTGCCAAAAAACACGACCTGCTTCCCCTTTGCGAGTCAAAGGTTGGAGTGGATGCGGATCCCATTTTGTTAGCAGTTGGTGGTCAGATCCTGAAGAGTCCAGAGGGGGAAGGCAGTGGGCAGAACCCAGCATCCTGGTTTCTTTTATTTCCTTGGAGAGGAACAGAACCTGGCCCTCACAAGATGTTCTGTACCAGCTCTCTGTCTCCACCCTCCAATTCAGAGCCTTGCTCACCCTGCTTAGCTTTGGCACCCACTAACCTATACACTTCTCTCCTTTGTGCCCTAAACTCCCTCCTTCCTTTTCAGGAGGGATTTGATGTTTTCCCTTGGGGATCCCTTCACAGCCCTTGTTACTTTCTTACTCAGCCTCCCAATGCTATCGGCAAGGCTGGTAAAGCTATGAATGACAAAGAGAGAAAACGGGCCCACTCAGCAGGAGGACTTGTTCTTACCCAGCCCACCTCATCTGGTCTGACCAGCCCTTCAAACTCCTGGCTGTGGCGAGGGTAGATCTGAGAAGGGTAGAGATTCTCTCCCACCGTCACGCTTTGGGTTTCCTCTCCTACTCGGGGCTGGGTTTTTGTTTTGTTTTTGCTTTCGTTTTTGAAAACTCTCCTTTGTCCCTGGTTCTCTAAAAGGTCTTTCTCCCAAACAATTACCAGGCATTTAATACCACTCAGTAGATATCTGCACACAAGTTTTTGTATTCCAAGTGAATTTCAGGCCAAGGAGTCTCCCTAGTCAAACTCTTGTCTTAAAAAGTCTTAACTATCTTCCTAATCCTTATGCTTTCTTTTTGTATTTCACAAAATTAAGCAGTGATTTAAGCTTTTTTGTGTGTCTCCATTATCATATTTGCAGTTAAATAGGGCTTTTTTTTATATACTGAGCTACTCAGGGCCTGCTATAAATTATGAAGTCAGTTTCAGAGTTTGCTCCGACCACAGTGCTGTGTTTACATTCCTTCCGAGGCTGCCGGCATGGTCGTAATTTATATCCTAAACACTTGAACGTAACTTGTTTATACAGAGAATGACAGGACCTCAAAGACAAAAACGCTGCGTCTCTCAGAGTGACCGCATTGGAAAGGCCAGCGCGCCCCCTAGTGGCGTGAAGAGACACACAGCTCCTTTCCCCCTCTTTCCCTGCTTCAGGTTTTTTTCAAGATGCCCCACACCCATTTTGTGGTGCTTTTCCCATATCCCTATGATGTGGGGATGTTGATCCTATTTACAGATCTGCACTAGGTCGTGGCTATCAGGGGTTTCAGTTTATTTCATACGGTTTTCCCAACATCACATATAAGACCTTTGCATCTGACATCACAGGCATAAAGGTGGTCTTCACTCTGAAGCAGGGGTTCTTAAACGGGATGTGCATCAGAATCACTTGCAGGGCTTGTTAAACACAGGATGCCGGGCCCACCCCTGTTTCTGATTCAGTCTGTATAGGACAGGGCTCGCGTTAGTATTCCTAATAAGCTCCTAGGGGACGCTGATGGTGGTCCAGGGACCACACTTTGAAAACCACAGGTCTAGAAAGGCAGTTTGAATTAAAAATATTTCCAGGTTCAAATGGGTGGGTGTTAAGGCTTATCTATTAATTAGTTAGGCAAAGATCTAAAAAGGTTTTTCTAAAATAGCTTACCCACCCAAATATCCCTGTGATTGACTACTGGCCCCTGGGGAAAAGCAAGGCCTAATTTTGAACCCTGCACCAGAAAACAGAACCTCTCTGTTTTTATTCAAATCAATGAAGCCTCTTATTTTATTCTAGTAAACTCTGCAAAGAAAAGTCAGATGGGCTCTAGCTGGTTTGGCTCATTGGTTAGAGCGTGGGCCTTTGGACTGAAGGGTTTCAGGTTCGATTCCTGTCAAGGGCAGGTACCTCAGTTGCAGGCTCCATCCCTTGCCCTGGGTGCCTACAGGAGGCAACCCATCGATGTGTCTCTCTCACATCCATGTTTCTCCCTCTCTGTTTCTCCCCCTCAGTTCCACTCTCTCTAAAAATCAATGGAAAAAATATCATTGGGTGAGGATTAAAAAACAAAAGGAAATAAAAGTCAGGTGGAATCATTGAAGTCTGCCTGCCTCAGTTGAGCAGTAAGTCAAGGTACTTAGACCCAGCAATGTCAGAATCCTCCAGACAAAGGAGGTGGTGATTACAGCAGGTGGGAAAAGAAATTCCTTCATTGGTTATAAAATCTTTTGAGGGTAGAACAGAAAGAAGCCAAAGAAAGGGGGCTGCAGTCTCACAGTCTCAGTGCATACAAATAATGATCCTTAGATACAAATAGGTAAGGCAGAATCATGGTGGGTGGGGGAGAAAAGAGAGAAACAGGGAGAGATATGGATGGGGCAGGGGCAGAAGGAGGAAGGAGGGAGAGAGAAGGACAGGTGAACAAAGAAAGATAAAGAGGAGGGAGGGAGAGAGGAACTGGGGGAGAAAGGGAAGGAGGAATGGAAGAAGAGAGAGGAGAGAGGTAGGAAGAGAAGGGGAGGGAGTAAGAGACACAGGGAGACAGAGAGAGATCTAGAGGGGAGGAATCCAAAAAGTATCTCAAGAGTTACTGTCCCAAAGTTAGCAAAGCAGCCTTTGAAGCTGGGCTGCTGTCCTCTGAGGCCACAGTTATCTCTCAGAGTCTCCAATGCCAGGCACTGGTTGAAAGGCGCACGTACTTTTGTTTTACTTGGCTTCTGCTTGAATTCTGGGGAAGTAAGAGAATTCTCTAGCTGTGCATGCTCAAAGTTTCTGAACTGCTGCAGCAACTTCTAGAAAATTCAGGAAGAATAAGAGTTAACATTTTAGAAAGTGGAAGTCTGATTTTGGGGAAAAATCTTCAGGCCCATAGTATATGCTACTGTGCTGTATAAATAGAATTAGTACTTTCTTCCTGTAAGACAAATTCTCTTCTTTATTCATTTATATCTAATTACTTTGTATCAAGGTGATTAATTCAAAACAGGCACGAACTTATTTAGAATGGAAATATATTTTAATATATTTTATCGGAACGGAAATACATTTTACCAAACCTGCTTCTATGAAACACTATCTGAGCAGGAAAAACACTACAGACATAGACACTGGGCCAGGGACAGCCACAGCATAGTTGTGAAGATTCATCTGGGAAAAAGAAAAGTCATGGAAGTCCTTTTGGAGTTCAGAGCGCCCTGAGTCCACAGTAATCCGACTAATAAATATTCAGCTTCCAGTTCCCAGGGGACCTGTCCATCCCAGGCCTGAGTCACCAGTCCTCTTGGCATAAGTTTGTGCAAGAGACCAGAGGATGTCTGAGGAGCAGCTGGGAGGCCAGTGCCCTCAACAGTGTTCCTTCCGGAAGGGCTCCATCCTGCCCTTGCAGCCTGGGAGCGGCTGTCTCACAGATAAGAAGACACCCAAGGGGCCTTGGCCAGAGCCCAGCAGGGACTTCACTCCCCAGAAAGTGCACGCCACCTCCCAGGACTTTGAATTTGACTGAGTGTGAACCCCAGGACATGAGGAATGGAAGACCTTTTCCTCTCTCCCCTGGTAATCACTAGGGTACCCTTTCATCTCTTGCTCCCCAAAGCAAGCCCTCATCTACAGAGAAAGTTTAGTTTATCTCCCACTCCACCCTCTTATTTATACCCCCACCCCGCAGTCACTGGGGTCTCTAGCCACTGTCATTTGCACTTTATCCAGGACCTCCCCACTCCCATTACTTAAGCCCTTCCCAAGTGTCCCTCCCATGGCCTGTGAAGCCATTATTGTCACGCTTACATTGCTTCCTCATGGAGGAGATGGAGGTGAGGCCCAGGGAAAGCCCCCGGCAGAGGCCTGGTGAGGCAGTGGTGCATGTCCCCTTGCTTGAGTGGCCTGGAAGCTAGGTTTTGTTTCCTTCAGCTAGAAAGACTCCAGAGCCGGCATGCGCCCCAGCTGCAGCCAGCCTGCGCTCTTCTGGGCAAAGCCTCTGAGGTGGCTCCCCAGTCCCCTGTGGGAGGCCATGTTGTTCCTGAAACTGATCAGACAACGCCCTGCACCCAGGATCACACCTCCTGGAGAGAAGTAAGATGGGGAAAAGCTGTTTCCCTTTGGAGCTGGGGAAGACTGCGTGGTTCCCATAGTATTACGAACATTGAGAAGCAGCTGTGTGTGGTTCTGTAGCATCAGTGGTTCTGTAGCATCAGGCACTCTGCTAGCTTGCACGCAGATAGTCTTATAAGGTTCACAGTGCTAACTCCACTTCCTAGATGAGCAAACTTGTTCACCCCTACACAGCCAGTAACGGAGAGGGTCGAAACCCTAACCCGAACCCATCGGACTTCACACATCTGAATGGAGTGATCACCAGAGGATGGGGTAGAGGATGGGGTGGCAACTGAAGTGGGAAAGGCTTTGCTGAAAGGGTAGGCATGCCATGCCCAACATGCCATCCACCCTGGCGATGCATGTGATGCACACAGCATGTATGAGGGCATCCATCCAGGGGCCCATAAATCACCCAAGGCCCAGTCTACACCACTGAAACCTCCCTGCAGGCCTGGAGGAGACAAGGTCTGCAGGCGTCTGGAGAGGGGCCAGTGCTTGCTA